GGGGGGGGGGGGGGGGCAGCCTGTGTACTCTCAATATTTCCAGTACTGTATGGAAATTCGTGTATGTTACTCTACTTCTTTGTCTTAACCATGTAAAAATATTAAAAAAAAAATACTTTTATGGTTGTAACCTTTGATTTGTCTAATTTAAAAATAAGTATGACCATAAGAGCGTGTGAATCCATGGCAGGATATTTCAGATACCACCTTACAACACCATTCTCTCTTTCAGCACATTATTGGATTACCAATGGTTTATCAATGATCGGAAAACTTGGTGTATCAGCATGTTTTGGAATGATATTTATTTTTAGTGCTGAATTATTTCCAACTGTATTAAGAAATTCAGGTGTTGGTCTTTGTTCAGTCATTGCAAGATTCGGCTCGATGATTGCACCTTATATATCAGACTTAGTAGGTGGCTATTTTTAAATATTTTACCATGAATACTACATGCTAATGATTGTACAAAAATAAATTCAAGATATTTATAACAATTGTTTTGAGAAAACATGGCAGAGAAGATATGTCACTCATTACTTATTTCCAATGTCCTCATCTGGTAGCCTTGTTCCGTGACTGTTTTATTGGACTGCACTTAAAACAATTACGATCGACTCACTAATTTATTTTAACATAAAATGTTGGGATATTTGGGATAAGCAGTATTGATAATAAAACTCCGTACAAGCAAGAGAAATTCCGTTAATCAAAATCTCGTCCAAAGTATGGCAAAAGTAGAATAGTAGTGGACTCCTCCAAAGAGAAGTACCACCAGGTGTTTCCAAAAGAAGCATGCTCGGCTTCGCGCGCGACGCTCGCCAATACTATTGATACTACACTTTATAAAAAAGTCTATGTGACTACTGATCTTTTCTTAAAGGTGTACTTGCTGATACCTCTACTGGTTGCGTTGAAACTGAAACATCCTGTTTTACCAGCATTAGCCAACGTAGCATTATTTGTGTGCAATGAAGTCTGTTTTTTAAATTATAATGTGTGCTTATAGTATATAACATGTAAGACTCTTTTATGAGCGATTTGTATTTTATTATCCTAAACGAAGATAAAATTAGTCAGAAATATCAGGAAACCATGTGTAAAAACAATATCAGTCGTTTGTGAAGATCCATTGATAATTTAAAATAGAATGTTGTAGACATGCTGTTGGCACTAAAGACTGTTGACAAATGCTTGCTGTAGACCAACTGGATATGAGTGAACTGGGTCGGTTTCTGGTATAGGCGTATGCAGGCTGGCAGACTGACTTCGGACGGTGGTGGTATTTTTTCCATGACACAAGGAATTTGGAGGCAGAATGTTTAACAAATCTTCTTTATTTATACACTAGACTAGTCTAGACTGGAGTGAAAGATGGCCTACCCAAAGCTTCCTATCCTATGTCCTTCCTTCCTTGCTTGCCAAATCGAGAGTTCCCAAATCTATGTTTTCGCTCTATATGTATCCTCCGACAGGTGTCGCTCTGAACAAAGACAATAATTTGAATTTCCCTCCAAATTTAAGCCGACATCTGAAGACACCAGTCTATTTTCGGGTTATAGTCAAAATGGCCCTAGACCAAAATAGTCCCACAATTTGGTCAAAATGGCCCCAAAATTTTTTGTCGAGATGGTCCCTGGAATAGGTTAGAATGGCTCCAGCAAAAAGTCAAAATTGCCCAAAAAATTAGGTTATATATATTTTATTTAATATAGTAATAAATTAATTACAACATTAACATAAAAAATGTATACATCATATTATACATATCACTTCGTCAACATACAGTTTAGAGCACTATTTTACATCACATCAGTCACTAGATCACGTTTAACATATTATCATTACACACATGTATCTATAAATCATAATAAGGTGTCGTTCTCCATCCACTCTCAAATCAGCTTTGATGAAGTCAGGCACAAATAAATCACCTAAAATGTAAAATACATGTATATGTAGACTGCATATAAGAGTTGATTAAGTGCCATTTTGACTTGAAAATTTGGTTGAAATCAAAGAGTAATTTCTGGGGCTTATGACTTTTGGGGCCGTTTTGACCTGGGACGATTTTGGTTTAGGGCCATATATTCTCTATTGTTACCCAAGATGTTAATCTTATAGTAAGTCCTTATAGGTAACAATAGACCTGTCCAGATAATTATAGAGTATAGTAAATGCTACTATACCCTTTTGTTCCTTAACGACCCCAGGAGGTAATACTAATAACGGTGATATATTTTGTCTCCAGTCCAGACAACATACAAAAAGGCTTTAGATTCTACAATAAGAGTACGTTATAACTCGTACTATAGTCATACAGATGTGTTCAGTTTTTAAATACTCATATAGCTATACACTAGCCATATACATTCAAAACTAAATGTAAATAAGAACGGTGCAAACGTTACCGCAATTTGATTCAACATACTCTATATTTGGAAAGTGTTATAATGAAGTATAACGAAATATTGATGAAATTGGGTGATTTTGGGTTGTATCAGAAACGGTTATATTTTTTAACTTGTTTGCCTGCATTGATAATTGGATTACAACCTATGCTGACAATTTTTATATTAGCCATTCCATCTCATCGGTGAGTTTTATTTGTCTATGCTTTCGTGAAATTCTACTGAAAAGAAGCACGACATGAATGTTTAACTGTTTCCATCTGCAAAGTGCAAACTATAACTTTATTAAATTCAACCATAAAACATCGATTTTAGTGAAATTTTAAAATGCAAATTAACTTTGGATTGTGCAGTTCGGAACATTTCCCCGTGCAGATAATCTGCTTTGGTATGAACATGAGCATACTGTTTGAGGTGCGAAGTCAATTTTGATTACGTCGTGTGTTACAAAATATGGCTAATGTTCAGATGAAGGAAAGCACATGTACTCTTTAATCCGAGATAGTAATTGCTCTAATTAATGCAACATAATATGGTCACCTAACCTCAACAGTTGATCATGCTAAGAACCAGTAACATCCATCTAATTTTCTTAGTCTCCTACTGTAGCAAGACATCGATAATTTAATGGATCTACATGCATACATCGGATGGATCTTTCCAATGCCCAAGAAATAGTAAAAGTTTGTTGATCTGATTATTTTTAAAACTAGGGCAGACTTAGTTAATTTCACCATTTAGACATTAACTCAGCATAGGCTAAATTTTTTATCATGTGAAAAATTAATGGTTAATAATTTGACATTTGACATTTGACTGACTCCTAGCGTTGGGTCCGTTTCGCTTCATATGATATAACTATAAAGTCGTGGTATAATATTGGGGAATTAGACTTTCAAAAAATATGTTTCCAGATGTCAACTACCCAGTGAATTTTTAGATACCCACTACTACCCTACCAATAATGTAACACAATACTATGTCAATTCTACAATACCAGTTGATGATGGACAGTGGGCTGAATGTGAGCAGTATGATGTAGGTAATTCAACTATGTTTAAAGGAATGGATGTAGTTAATGGAAATATTTCCAGGACAAAATGCAATGACTGGGTTTATGATACTTCTACCTATCACAATACTTTTGTTTCCGAGGTAAATAAGAATTAACATTGATAAGATCTTGTAAATAACAAATTCTCAATATGCAGTATGAAGTATATACATATGGGAAATTCTACTAGACTAACTGAAGTATATGTACAGATATATATATAGATACTAAAGTACCGAAATATACAAATGCACAAAACCATTTATCTGTTTTTTCCATTGTGAAGGTTACGCGACCATTCGGCATAAGTTATACAGCTTAGCAGACGATATGCGAATTATACTTAACATTATTAAGTTAAAGAAAGCCTAACCACATAATTGCATTCTAGATCGATCTGAGATTTTGCGATGAACTTACCTACTTCAAAAGAATTCCAAAGGAACGAATTAATAACTCGTTATGCATCCCAATATTAAAAGGGTATTATGATGTGATATCGGGAAAATAAAAACCATTAGTGTTAATGGGGTCACTTATTTCCACGATTCAAGTTTTCAAAGACGGACAGGGAGCCGCGATGGCTCAGTGAGCAAAACGTAAAACTCCATTCATTTCATTTCATTTCCACAGACGAACGCAAAGTTTTTTATTATTATATATACATGTAATTAATGTAACATTTTTCTATAATACTTGACTTTATATGTATTTTTAAGTTTAACCTAGTGTGTGATGACACCATATACAGATCTCATGCTAATATGTTATTTATGTTTGGTAAAATGTTGGGATCGCTAGTTTTTGGAATAATAGCTGATTTGTAAGTATAGGTGTAATAATCAATAGATATACTTTGAGTATGAATGGCATTTTTCTCGTAACCATGCCTGTACATAAAAGGCAATGTAATATACACCCACTGGCAGCTTTGATTTTAAATAAAATAATTAAACAGTACAGTAACAATTACCAGTATGAAATATTCAACCATCAGAATTGAGCCTTCTAGAGTGTTTACAGGCTAAAACTTTTTAGCGTTTTTAAGAACAAGGGCAATAATATTTTTTGATTTTCCTGATTTTCAATAGGGTTCATCTTTGGGTGATTACATACACCCACACCAAGTTTCGTCAAAATCCATCAAGAATTGTGCCTTCTAGAGTGTTTACGTGCTACAAATTGTATGCATTTTCAAGAACAAGGGCGATAACACATACCAATTATTTTTCGATCTTTCTGATTTTCAATAGGGTTCATTCTTAGGTTACAACAAACTCTCACACCAAGTTTCGTAAAAATCTGTCAATAAATGAAGCTTCTAGAGAGTTTACGAGCTATACTAATTATTTTTCGATTATTCTGATTTTCAATAGGGTTCATCCTTGGGTGATTACTAACAGTGTTAGTAACACTCATACTAAGTTTCATCAAAATCCGACAAGATTTGTGCCCTCTGAAGTGTTTACGAGCTAAAAATTGAACGCTTTCAAGAACAAGGGCAATAACTCATACTAAAAATTTTCAATTTTTCTGATTTTCGATAGGGTTCATCCTTGGGTGATTACAAACAACCATACCAAGTTTCGTCGAAATCAGTCAAGAATTGTGCCTTCTAGAGTGTTAACTGTGGACAGACGGACGGACGGACGGACATGGGTGACAATATTCGCCCCCCATTTCATGTAGGCGTATGAAAATCAATTTTTAGGATAAATAAGACCTGATATTTTCTTATGGGAAATCTCTTAAGCGATATTTTTTTAATAAACTCAATCGCTCAGTGTTATTTTCATCTCTCAAAATAATCAAAAGTTATGAGGTGTAACATTCATTTTTAGATGCTTTTTAGTATAATAATGCGTTTCCTGATTACAATGTTTAACTGTTGTTGTGACTTTTTGAGAACAACGCCCAGTAATGTAGCATTCTTATAACTATCACAGCAATAATCAGTTAATATTCGAATGTTAAGCCAACATTTTCCAACATTGAATCGTTGGCTTAACTAATCTTATTGTCTTTATTATATGTTCAGATTTGGACGGAAAAAATCCTTCATCATCTCTGTTTTAATAGACCTGTTTTGTTCCATGACGATTGCATTCTCACCTAGCGTGTGGGTATTTTTCATACTACGGATGTTAGTTGGAGCTGCTAATTCTGGTATCTTCATATCTACATTCATCATAGGTAAAGACAATATACATTCCCGTTATTTTGTGCTTTGGACGGGATTTGTTGTTAACGAAAATGTTTTTCTTTTTAATACATATATTTCTTTATATACACTGCCATAGCCAATCGTACTTGAAGTTAAACTATTGACTCGTGGTTGCACATGATTTTCAACTGAAGTATTGTATTGTCTTCAAGATGAAGCATCGTTACTGACATTTAGCTAACAAAATATATCATTCGCAAACAACTGTGCCATATGCCTTATATGCGTTATGCTAGAGAAACCATGATCTCTCTGAGTTACCGAGTGGGCAGGCTATAATGTTCAAGAATACTGAACTGTGATAACGTATTTATTAGACCGGAGGCAAAAATTTAATAAAATATTGACTACTAATTGGTACGCGTCGCTATTTTCTCTCCCCTAAAATATTCAGTCTTATCTTTTTATACTTCAGGATTAGAACTCGTAGGCAAAAGTAAGCGAGCATTTGCTGGAATAGTTATCGAATTTTTCTGGGTTGGTGGATTATTTATTCTGCTGGTTTTGGCCTATTTATTAAGAAGCTGGGATGATCTTCTGTTAGCTACTGCACTTCCAATACTGCCTTTGGTTATTACATTCTGGTAATTTGACATATTTTGTTTAATATATTATTTATATATTGTTTTGAATAACCCATGATTTCGACAGTCATAATTTGAACAACATCATATGAACACCAAATAATTATTTGTTATCTTAAATGATTTTTGGTGAAAAAATCATAAAATAATTTGATTACCAATTTGATTTTTGGATGGATTGTTGTGGTTTGAATTAAACGGACACGGTACGCTTTTCCCAGCATCTCTCTAATTTTCTTGTGGTAATATTCAAGGTTTATCCCAGAATCAACCAGGTGGCTGGTATCAAAAGGTCGTACAAAAGAAGCTGAGAAGATTTTACGTAAAGCTGCTAAAGTGAATAAAGTAGAACTTCCCGATGAATTATTCGATAAAGATTGCTTGGAGAAAGAACCACGAGTAAAAATTTGGGAAATGTTTACATCACCCGTCTTAGTTATCAGATCTTTTATTATATTTTCCAGTTGGTTAGATAATATTTCAGTATTTATTAGCTAGTTTAGGTTGATATCTGTAATATTTTTGGTCTGATATCGGTTAAAACCCGGTTTGCCCGTCTATATATATATAGGGGCTGATATGAAAAAAAGCGCTTAGTTAGGTTTCCACTGTACTACTAAGCATGGAAAATTGCTATTGCTCTTGTCTTGGCGACCTCCAATTAAAAATAAGAATTCAGCAAGATGGTATACACGGAAGTGATAGTTTCGTTACTCAGATGTTAGTATGTTGCGATCAACAAAACCACGTATCATATACAGAGAGATAATAAGGTATAAATCTCTTTTTCAGGGCAGTAATTTCTATGGTATATTATGGCTTGAATTTAAATATTACAAATCTGAGTGGAAATATTCACATAAATTTTACCATCTCAAATATTGTAGAATTTTTAGCGTATTTGTCCGTATTTATCTTTGCCGAGAGAATTGGTAGAAAACCGATATTATGTATGAGTATGTTAGTTGGTGGAGCAGCCTGTGTACTATCAATATTTCCAGTACTGTATGGAAATTCAGGTGAGTGACTTCAGTAAGCTGCTTTTACAGAGGGATAGTAAAAATGTTTCTTTAACTTTTTATGTATGTACTGGGACTTTATAGTATTAAGGCATTATACCATTCCAATTTCAATCAGACGTCTATGGTTCATTGGTGCCAATACACAAAAAGTTTGGGAAATAATTTGAAACTTGTACAGCTAGTATTATAGTATAATAGAATTCTACAAACTATTTTCAGCACATTATTGGATTACCAATGGTTTATCTATGATAGGAAAATTTGGTGCTTCTGCTGGCTTTGGAGTTATATACATGTTTAGTGCTGAGTTATTTCCAACTGTGTTACGGAATTCAAGCGTCGGTCTATGTTCAGTCTCTGCTAGAATTGGCTCAATGATTGCACCATATATTTCAGACATTGTAAGTTAAACATCTTTTTGTATATGAAATGATGGTCCTTAAGTTTCATTAAATAACCAACATGATCAACAAGCAATCTGTATTTGTCAAATATCAATGAACCTTTTACTGAAAACTGACCCTCGATTCAATAGGCCTGTATTCTCGTTACTTAATACTTTGCTATCTTTATCGTCATTCAATTTGTCTAATTAGTGTTAATGTTATATAGGATGTTCATTCAAATTTGTCAAGTACATGCTATGTCGATAATTATGCATCATACAAAATACATTGTTAAAGGACAGACATACATTTCTAAAGATTTTACTGTGGCTGGGTACAAGTCTCACACAAGATTCTATCCACTAGCATCTAAATTTTGTCAAATTATTTCTCATATTCCGCCGTGAGTTTGCGAGAAAAATTGAAAAAATGTAAATGATATATGTAAATGATTATCTATTTCCAGGGAGAGTTATTAAAAGGTGAACTAGAACTTGCCTTACCTTTAATAGTATTTGGAATATGTTCTGTTGTTGCTGGTCTCCTTGCCTTACTGTTACCAGAAACGATGAATAGAAATTTACCAGACACAATTGAAGATGCAAAATCATTCGGAAGGTAAATCCTGACGTTTAAATATAAATTACTTCTCACGTGTAAGTCTTTTCTCCACAAACAAACGTTTTGTAACAGTCTTGCTTATAATCCTGTTAGCTGAATTGAAATACGATTTCTTTGCGTTCCTCATTGAAAATTAAGGGCTGAAATCGATGCATGTCTATTTATAACTTTACGAATATGTTTTACAAAATTCAATTTTAAAACTTTATGTACAACGGAGAAAACATTGGTTTCGAAACAAGAACATAGAAAAAAAGTATACATGATAGTCGTTTAAGTATCAATTAATCATAACGGTTCGTTTGCCTTTGTAGGACACCGATAAAAGTACAGTCGACCTACGAAGAAAGCGACGTGAGAACACAAGAAGAGAATATACAATTAGCTCAATCATTAACATAATAAAATATAGATTTACATGTTATTATCGTTTTGGAAATCATCTGATAAGACAAATTGGATAGTTACGACTCTCAAGTGGAAATCATTGTTTTTCTGCATTTCGCCATCTTTCAAGGTATTATTTTCGTTCATATTCAAGACTTTAGCCTGCATGAACAAACATTTCATTTTAATGATCCAAAATCTTGCCCTTGTCATCTGTTCTAGCACAGACTCTTGACTTTACGTAATGCTCTCAAAGCGTAATATAGGGAAACCATGTGGAATAAACAAAATACTCAATCTAATCCATAGTAGTTGGTTTAAAGTGGCTTTTTTTTAATTGTCGCTGTTAATTCAATTATTTCTGATATTTTCTTATGAAAATCTACGTAGACTCCAAAGTGATCTCTATTTCCTTGGCCAATTATTTCAGCTAAACATATCACTGAATTTTTACAAAATAGAATGTTTAAACATAAACTTACGATGACAACCTAAATTTACAGCTGTTGAAAAAAATTCACCCATGCAGAAATTACTATTGAGGGGTTGATTATCATTATATGTATCAGGGAAAAATAATAACAGGTTGGGAACTTGGCATTGTGTCACTTCTGTCGGAACATTTAATGAATTAATTGTAGATAAATGATTGCTATACAGTCGATTAATATACTAATACTCACATTGTAAATTCTCAATTATGAACGTAAGCACTTTAGGTTTTTATATTAAGTCTTTCAATAACCCATGTAGTTTCAATACTTTTTATTCTTGCCTTTTTGGTAAGACTAAAAAAACAATAACAAAAGTGTGTTGTGTTATAGCACATAAAAAGTGTGTTGAAACGATTTTATGAAGCATGTATAGTTCGATTGGCTGGTACTTTACCCCTGACATCCCAAAGAGTAGAAGCAATAAAGTTATGTATTTTTCTTATCTTGTGTCAGACTATCCTCATCCGGTTATTCTTGGCAATTCTTATAATAAATAAACCTAGAAGTATACCAACAATTCGAACTGCAAGGGGTACGGGAACGTAGTGCGCCTTTTAAGTCGCCTACACCGGTTTACACCTGCTATAATTATAGGTAATTTCAGATGTGGTACCGTATTGGTAGATGTTTTGCACTAACAACATGTTTTCATTACTTGCTAGTTGTCCACTGTCGTGTGATCCCCTTGATTGGTAATACTTAGTTGGTGACATTTCTCTGACATCACTAGTTTATGATGCAAGTCAATATGTTCGCATACGATTAGTTGCTTTCGTTTGCAATCTCTTCACAAGTTGACAATTTAGGGTGGATATGATCTTTCGATCAGATACACAGATGTTCCGATAGGATTGCTTCTATGTATCCACTGACTGAGACGTTCACAACGCGAACTGTTACGAAAGGACACGATTGTGGTTGAGACGCCAAGGATAATAATCAATCGGGATCAGATCGTATTGGATCACAAGTTCAATCGCGATAGTGATAACCTGATATTTGAGCTTGTAAAGACAAAGTTTGACAATATATCTTCTATTTAAACTGTTCGTCAAAACGTTTAGCATTGCGAGTTATTGGGTCAAATATAATGGAGAGCAAAATGATCCATTGTAGGTTTTTGGGTCAAATACAATGGAGAGCGAAATGATCCAGGGCGAACATACATCTTAAATAAATCCTTTTTCTAAATGCTTATATATCTAACTTTAAATAATCTCCAGGTATTTTTGCACTGTATAGGACAACTTTTAAATGTATTAATATCTATACAATCCGGTCCTTGTATTCAGTGGCGTAGGAAGCATAAGGCGAGAGGGCGGAGCAGGGGCCACAAAAATTTCCAGGCGGGGGGCACCGGCCATACTTTCGCTATGCAAAATGATAAAATAAATGAAAGTGTGTGTGGGGTGGAGGGTGAGAGGAAAGCCGAGCCAGTCTCTTTTCTGGTCCCCAAACCCTTAGAAACGCCATATATATTGTCCGCGTATAATATGGTACAAAAAGAATCCCGAACACAAAAGTAACATATAGTGCGTGTCTATGAAACAAACCATAGCTCAGTGTTACTGTTATTTTATGAACATGCGGTTCGACGATATTGTTAATATATTAGGAGGATTCGGGTGCTATCAGAAGAGGGTATACGTTACACTATGCCTGCCACTGATAACTTGTGCCATGATATCTCATCTCTCCAATTTTATTCTTGGTATACCAAAACATAGGTAGGTGTAGCTTATTTTAGTAATTTCATCTTTAATGTACACATAGTCTATTATGCTACAACATGCACTTAATCAGCCATCTCAATTGGCATGAGTTCTGATTATCTTAAAATATAACCATCGTCTGACACTATCTAGCAGTTACTTTCTTTTTTAGTTGCTTATACAAAATATGTAGTTCATTTTCATATTGTGGTTTTGACTCTAGATAAATCTTGTGTTGGTAATTTCATGACAAATAAGTATTTCAAGGGTCATTTTTGCTAATTTTCCAAAAAATTAGACTTAAACTGGTAAAAGAAACATTTGTCTACTATACCTTTCTCATACTGTGAGGAAATTTCCAATATTTGAACTCAAATAACGTTTTTTTAGGGGTTTGTCATGTTGATAGAGGGAGTTATTCTTGTTTTAATTATGAACGTTTATTTATAAAGTTGTGGACAAACTGTCCTATTTCAAGATTTCTTCAGCGTAACCTTTTCGTGCACTACTTATCACAGCCTTGACATAAAACTTTCAAAAATATACCTCGGAAAATCATCGCATATTTGCATCAATTTACTTAAAAACGTTACCCGCGTGTGTTTCGAAATGTAGTAAAACTATGTAATAAACGTAGAAGTAGTATATCCATTTAACTTGTGTGCTTAATGTTTACCTCCTGCTTCTATATGTCTTACAAAGATTGACTATAGGAGAAATCAGCTTCTCTGTGATATGCTAAATGTAGAACAAATGCATTACTTGGTTAAGACAATTGGTAGGACAAACTACTGTTACAAAATGTTAAATATATGCATTATGTGATACGCAAACCATCTCTTATGACATCATGGCCGAACTCTATTGTCGTTTATATAGATGTAAGCTCCCAGCAGAATTCAATGATACATCTTACTATCCAGAAGACGAGTCTGTACATTACATGATCAACATTTCGATTCCCACTGAAAATGAAGAGTATTCTAAATGTTATTGGTATGGATTAAATTTGTCCAATCCCACCACATCTCAAATACAGAATGCATCAAAGAGAACTAAATGTAATCAGTGGATCTATGACACATCAGTTTTCACCAACACAATTGTGTCAGAGGTGAGATCATGATCTGTTGTAATGCTATTCATTTGGCTGGTAGAAATATATTATCACGAGTATCCATAACTATAGACTAAACAAATATAATGACAGCAAAAAGATAATTTGATGTGTCTGAAAAAAAAAACATACTTTGTCACTAATGTGTTGTAAAATGTGTTACATTGTGTAATCGCGAACGCGATAAGAATGGCAAATATATTCTTATTTCTGTTTCACTCAGATTGTTAACTTTTAATGTCACTGCTACAAATACTTCTTGAGACATGCACTACTTGAGAAAACCTATATTTGCAAATCTTTTGTTCAACTTGAACAGGGAGCTGCCATCGCACTCTTAATGGAAATACTTTTTCATTCTTTCAGTTTAATCTTGTATGTGACAAAGCCATTTATCGCTCCCATGCTAATATGGTTTTACTAGTTGGATTTATGGTATCTTCTCTAGTTATTGGTACACTATCTGATATGTAAGTCAAATAGGAATTATATTTTTACATTAATCTGCTTTATGATTGTATTGCAAATTGTCCAGGTCTTGGTGGTAGAGGATGAAAGCTATGAAATAGAATACAACAATACCAATCCACGAAGAACATTTTTATTCAATATGAATGCTTTTTCCATTATACTTTGAAATTCATTTTACAGAGGACAATTTTCAATGAAAATTTGGGATATTCTCGGTTGAAATGTTTGGGAGGGAAGTTTGTTAATTAGTTTTAGTTACAAAATCAATATATTTCATCAACTCAAATACAACTCAGTTTAATTTAAAGTTGATGTTCCTAGTTAAATTCGATTAAAGAAAAAAACTGGAGATTATTTATCCAAACAATATTTTCATTTTCAGAGTAGGGCGAAGAGTCGGTGTGTACATTTCATTTGCATGTATTATAGGCAGTCAGTTTGGAACAGCATTTACTCCAAATTTTACAATACTACTAGTTTGCCGTTTCCTAAATGGATTCGGAGACATAGGGCTTTTTATGACGTCATTTGTTTTAGGTAAGTATTAATGTGGGTGAGTTATTTCTACCCAAATATCATTTGCCAGCCATCATGAATTACAAATCTTATAGAGCGACAACGTTAATATTTTCTAAAGTAATGTTGTTGTGAAGATAATAATAATCATTTCACTGTTTGATACTTTTTGTCTGATACTGTTATAACGTTTTATGCCGTGTCCTTTATGCATTTTGCATATGGTATATTTGTAACCAAATTTAATTTCGATTCGCCACCCCTTTTTGTTTTAAGAACCTTGCCCAATTCACAAGTCTTTCTAACAAAATAAATATAACCTTTGAATTCTGAAAACAATGTTTGTCATGAGGAGCAGAAAATAGAACGTAAAAACCAATTGATTTCACTTATAAAGAGCCTGGAAAATTACATTTCATATCATTTGAAAAATGTAAGTGAAATATCATCTGTTCTCTTTTTTTCTAGCATTAGAACTTGTTGGTGTATCTAAAAGAACCTTAGCAGGAATGGTAGTCGAGTTGTTCTTCTGTGTTGGACTGTTTTTGACAGCCATTTTAGCTTATTTTATTAGATCATGGCAAACACTTCAATTAGCAGTTGCTAGTATAATAGTAGTGGTATATCTGTCAGTTATTTGGTAAGAGTCTTATATATCATTCAACCGAAACCGCTTATCAAACATTTTTGGATATAAAAAGATGTTCTTACACGAGTGTATGTCATAACGAACTTTGTTAAACGTCAAGATTCAAGGACGAGTTTGTTTTATAGTGATAATGAGTAACAGTGAGTGCTCTGGTGAGTCTCATTTTAATAAGATCAATCAAACACTTATAATACCTTTTTGTGACTTTGTATCGGAGATATATTTCTTCTCCCCATTTAACAATGATTTTGCGCGTTAAGCATTATTGTATATAGTGTACAGATCTTATTGCAACAACTCTAAAAATAGATATAAAATACATTGCAAGGTTAACAATTTCAGAAGTATGGTTTTCTGTTTTTTCAGTTTTGTTCCAGAATCTGCTCGATGGTTGATTTCAAAAGGGAAAACAGAGAAAGCTAAATTGATATTGCGTAAAGTTGCAAAAGAAAATCATACCAAATTACCTGATGAAATATTTGAGAAAGAAAATTTATGTTTAGTAGAAGCACCCAAATCTCAAGCATCGAAACTATTTGCATCTCCAGTAATGGTTTTGAGGTCATGCATCATTTTCTTTAATTGGTGAGCTGAATTGTTTTAGATTCTGTCTATTAAACCTTATTAATTTAAATATGCTTGATATTCCAAGTTAATAATTTCATAGAAAGAATTTCCACTTGACGGATAATTCACCAAGGCTCTTTATGAAACCGCTTAAGTTTCAACATCTTAATAAAAAGAGTCTAGCTCACTGGTCGCCGCTAGCTGAACCGTTCGCCGGGCTTGTAGGCACGAGTTATAATTGTTTTTTCCTTGCAGGTTAGTCTTATCCATGGTATACTTCGGATTAAGTTTTAATGTCGGTAATATAACTGGAAATATACATGTAAACTTCTCAATTGGGACTGGTGTAGAGGTGCTAGCTTATGTACTTTGTATATTCTTGTTGGATCGATTGGGAAGGAAATTAGTTCACTGTTTTAGTATGCTGATTGGAGGAATTGCGTGCATAAGCACATTGTTTCCAGTGCTATTTGGTGATCAGTGTAAGTTGTCATATAGAATTATTTCTAAATTCTGAACACTTTTAAGGCTTTTTAAGAATTTCGTAGCTTTAATAATAATAGGGATTGTGTATTATAGTTATGGTACTGGATAGGCCTTCAGAAAGATATACTATCTTATTGGCCGAATTTGAACATTTTATGTTCATTCTAAGAGGTAGTATTCCTTCAATTTCAGCCCTTGATTGGATAACGATAACTTTTTCTATGATGGGACGATTTGGTGTATCAGCTGCATTTGCAGTTTTATACATATTTTCATGTGAGCTCTTCCCAACTGAAGCCCGTAATTTTGGTCTTGGTGCCAGCTCATTTCTTGGCCGGATTGGTGGAATTGTTTCTCCTTATATTGCTGACATGGTTTGTTATTTTCCTTTAAAAACTAATGTATTTGAAACTCCAATGCTTCACTACCAACTTCCAGGAAGGATTATACTTATCGATTCTAAATATTTAGTTAACCGTAGAAGACTTGACACTATCAAACTAATGTAATATAATACAAAAATAACCTTTCGTTTCACTACCAAACCTTTTTAATGGATACTATTCTTAACAGTATTGGAAGGCCTATAATGACATTATCATGGCATATCTTCTGTTTAGGGCTTTATAGTAGATGGTAAAATTGGAAAAGCGCTACCGTTAATTATATTCGGTAGTGCAGCAATAGCCGCTGGATTACTTGCCTTATTACTACCAGAAACCAAGAACAGAAAATTACCAGAGACAATTGAAGATGCAAAGAATTTGGTAAGAATAACAATAATATGTGACTAGCACTTTCTATAAGCAGTGCATATAAATTGTAAAGGAATGTATTTCTTGATTTCGAAGATAAGTTGCCTTGAAATACCGTATAGACAGGGTCCTATGCTTATCCAAATAGGTATGAACAACAAGCCATTGAGATGAAAATATATCAGAATATGAAAGATTATACAGTGGTGTAACCTATTTTCGTGCATATAAGGATTCAGCACGAACCACGATTTAAAAAAAATAGTGACGGACAAAATAAGATACGTAGCGTGATTTATTGCTAAAAGTCATTGGAACAACATAAGAATATGGCCCACATTGTGTTCCATAGAATTTTTCTGCTGACGCGGAATCCACTAGTTGATCACGTGACTTTATTCGTAGGACTACATTCTAGCAGACGACACATGGATTTCCGATTACAGCTTGGGATTATAAGGAAATTCGGCCGATAAAAAAATTGTGACATACCTAAAATCCGCAATTTTGTTTTTGACAAAGTATACATTAATACATTTTACCTTGCTTGAAACTACTGGATTTATTCTACGAGCGGACATTGTACAAATAACTCATATTTATCAAAACAAGCATTCGCGACGGTCACACATGTAAATCATTAACCATTTCCGGAGATTCACGAAAAATAGGTTAGCAAGAAATTAGGTTACTTGACTGTATATATGTGGGCGAGCCAGCTCCACACAGAAACAGTAACAGACGTTTCAATTGTCGATACAATGCACTTTGATGATATAAAAACAAGAGAAAGATCTTACAAGAATTAGCCAAGAAACACCAAACAAGGAAGCACAGCGCACATACCATTACTTTCCCTTCCCTTCCCCTCTCGCTTATGCAGACCAATCTGACTCTATTTAACCTACTCCCGAGTCGCGACCTACCTACAGGACACTAGGCCCAGAGAACAACACCACAGCAGTGGAACAATTGCGTTGTCTCCACAGTGCCCCGTCTGCGACTGACCAGAATAATTTAAATCATGTACTTTAACCTAAACAGAACTTTTTACAATAGATCTAATGTAATACTTCAATGTGTTTCCGACAAATTTAAAGTTATGGTTACTCGATCACATAGTTTTAGGTTATTGGGACAAGAAAGAGGTATAGCAGTGTCAATATACATGGCAGGGTGAAACGAGACAATAACACCGACCTGGTTTAAGGGAAACTCCGAATAATATAAATATAATTAATATTACGAAATAAACGGTTTTTTTAACTTCATACCATAATTATGTATTTTTTGATAAATATTTTTTCCAGGGTCACCTGGAAATGGAATCATATTGATGAAGATATATCCCAAGTTATATGCGACTTTGATCATGAATTGGACTTGAAAGGATTTAACGTGCATTTATTTATATTGGGAATGTTTTGTCAGCAAGGAAAATAAAACAACTCCCTTGTTTTGTCCCCGCCAGTGCTTTTTAATATTCTTACTGATGTTGTCCGTGTTTCTGTCAACTACTGACATTCTATCAAAGTCGATGTGCCTTTCCGCTGATCAATATAGTTGCATGACACTGCGAAAAGGCAGTTATAGACACAACGTTTGCGTTCTTTAGTGTTCTGAATAAGTATTGTCCAAATATCATTAAAGCATTTTATTGTCACAAACAGCGTATTGTTTTATCCATTTAAGAACCATACATAGTTTCATATATGCTGAAAGTGTGACAGAATTTTGAAATCGATATGTATTAGTGGTGCGTATATGGTAACCTATGTCCGTTGTCCTGTCCGCGATCGTCTCTCTGCTCACAATTGCATCATAAGCACACTAGAAAACACGTTTTTGGCTGATTTTGACAATTTGAAATTTTACAATCTATCTGAATCAACAAAGCCGAAACATAACCTTTAGTTAAAGAGCCAATCCAATATTGTTTTTGATGCGTGTTTATAACCACCCAGAACACTCATGCACAGCGGCGTCAACAAAAGGGGGTGGGGGTTGTTTCTGTTATTCAGTGCATACTCTTTTAATGAAAAGTTTGGAAAGAATTTCAAATTTAAAACATTTAAAGGCAATGAACTAGTTTTATACTAGTCAAGTGAAATGATACAACCAATTTTCCCCTTCACCACTACTCTTTTTGAATGGGTGTATCTTCAGCACACACTATTGTTTTATATCCTCGGGCTAAATCTTTTGTTTTCCAATTTAAGAATATGATTATGTTACTTATAAGACATTTATTTCTCAGTTTTGTCTCAAAATGGCCATTAGATTGCCCTTTGTCACTAGAGCACAAGGACTAAACATACATACATACATGGTGTGAAGTATTTTATTGACAAAGGATATTTGTATATGAAATATTCATCCTTACCTTAGAGTGCGACCTATAGCGATTTCAAATTGAGCTCAGGACAGCCTATGAATTTCATTGTATTATCGTGACGAGTATAAGTGTATACGGCGCATAAATAAAGGTATACAGTTAATCGTCACATAAGGGTACATGAAATAACGGTGAATGACTTTCCAGGACTAAACTTTCGAAATGAAATTTGACGATATATTGGAATACTTGGGTGAATTTGGAGCCTACCAGAAAAGATTGTATATAACAGTATGCATTCCATCTATTTCTATTGCTATGCAAGTTTTGCTTCCTGTATTTATTCTGGCTATTCCTAACTTCAGGTAATTATCTTTTCATACTCTTTTAGAGCTTAAAAACACTGGTGTTTTGGACTATACATGTGTACTGAAGTAAACTATTGCCTCAATTCGCTATATTCCTATTTCGCTTTCTACGTCTGTGATTGTTGCATTTCTTCACGTTCTCGCGATCTTCAGTACCATTTGGCTTCATAGTGACGTCAATTTAATTTCTCAGTTCAGTAGCTGTGCTCTGTTGTTGTTATTCCTGGATTGGATTCATCATAATAATATTAATACTACATGAACTAGGGCCGATTTGTGATATAAGTCGACAACAAGTAAGATGGTGGAGTAGAAGACGTCAGTGTTCAGTGAATTTTCTCTGCAGATCAACGATGTATGAATTGGATTGTTATAGAAAACTAATTTTAAACATCCCCGTTAAAGTGGTGGTATGAATCACAAATGCGTAGAAAGCATACAATATAATAAGGATCAAACAAAGCAAAAGTCGCTTTCCAGTTTTAGATTTTATCAACCTGCTAAAACCAACTCAAACTGAGAAAACAAACAAAACAATAGCAAATGTATAATATGTGTCCGTGAAAACAAGCGTGAAATGTCAATAACCCTACCTTCGATAGGGTGAAGATTGAATATCGTGCACCCGGTGTGTTCTTATAGTAAACAACATCATATTATATTTAATTGTCTACCATTAAATAATATGCACAATAAACTACAATAGTACAACAATTTTCAAAACAATTTTTTTACAAATTATAATTTTATTTAATGTAATATTTAAATGTATCTTTAAGGAATACTACTTAAACTTAAACACTGGTCAACAGGTGTATACATTCATCAGTTGGACTTGCAAGGTGCCATGACTAAACAATAGAATCTCTATATAAGATGATATATCGCTTAAACTAACTCCAAGCATGTTTCAAATTACTCAGTTTAATGAATTATTACTAAGTCTGACGGATCTATGACAGCAGATTAACAAAGACCCATTTTGGCCAAATTTAAAAATTTCAATTTTTTTGTCATCCTAAAAGGTAGTATACCTTTAAAGACAAATTTCCCTTTGAGGATCTTAGAGGGCACAAGTCATGGTGTTTTGGAGGTTTTTTTGTGAAAATAAATCAGTTACATGTACATGTATATATAGAAATAAAAACAAGTTAAAATTGAACGGATACACGATTTTGTTTTAACAAGGAATGTTATTGTTAACTACTTACTGTAAATACTCTATCTTTAAATGTATATCTATGTAATAGGCTTTACGACGAAATGAATACGCACCTCATTGTTTTATTAACGTCTATTGTCATATTAAAGTCTTATTAAGGTCATGTTATCATCCCATTTTCTATTCAATACAGCCAGTTTAGTTGTCAAGTAAAAGGATATCAGTTTGTCGAGTTTCAGACACAGATTTATACTTTCATTTACAATTTTGGAATGATTGCGTCTTTTTATACCATGCGATTACTGGTGTGTGGTGTTGAAAAGTTTAATTATGAAATTACCCTGAAGTAATTAAGATCTTAAATATTTTATCTAATTATTATGTATGGCCTTTGTTCAAAACCTGGAATACAAGCGTACACAATAGAGAATATATTCTGAGCTTTTTAAAGTGATCTCTTTTGAATATTGGACAAAATTCATGAATTCGTTACAGTCCAACCAACGTAACTTTGAATATGGTGGGCGATAGGGTTCTAGGAAATGGGTATGCGGGTGGAAAAAGGTTTAAACTGACCGTGCCCCTGGCTTTTTATTTCAACATTATATATCTAGTGATTCGGGTTGAAGAGTAACGACAGTTGTTGTATTTTCAAAAGACATAAAACAAGCATTGTAGATAAAAGAGTCATATTTTATGTGTAGGTTAGTCTATTCAATTATTTATAGATTTAGCAATAGAAGATGTACATTTGATTATACATGTAGTTATTTTTATTTAAAAATATACACATATTTGATAATGATTTAAGTTTACTCAGCCTTCGAAAGTAGGATTTTTGCAGTTTTGGTTTTGCTTGACTGGTAGTTCATGAGATGATAAAAAAAGTGTTTGCATGATAGCTTTAACATAAATTATAAGATAAATATGTATGTGGTTTTTTTCATTATTACTTGTAAAATTGTTCACAAGAGATTGTGAGAAAATTTGACATGCTTGAATCGCATATCATTGGGTTCGAAGCATTACGATTGATAGACTAATTTTCTGTTGATATCTTACATTATGTTCAGTGAATTGACATATACTGGTAATACGCCTATAGTTCGCCATCCAAAATTATTTGTCATGATCATGATACAGTAATTTGTAACAGTAATAAAACCAGGTATAAATATAATCCTTTGACGACATTTAGGGGTAAAGATCTCATTAAATAACGTAACACAATTTTATGGAATACTACTCCTTAGTATCATTAAACACTACGTTTACATTGTCATCATCAGATGAAGTGAGGAAATATGGTACAAGAAAGTAGACTGTTGAAACGTAGTGTGTACGTAGTGTGTAATAAAACTAAGGAGTAGTATACCATAAAATTGTGTTTCGTTATTTAAGGTATAAATATGGTTTAACGGAACCTGGAGTTTTTATTCGGTTCGCCATTTTCGGGGGTCGATTTGGGTCTTGAATATATGTAAATAGTCTTTAGAAGTACTAAAACTGCGCAAAAATACCTCCCAACTTGAAATTTTGATATCTATTTCTATACATGTATTTTCTATAAATGTTTATCAAACCCTCTTGGACGAATATGAAGATAAGGCGAGTCGTTATTTAAAATTTCCAACGGCCACATATGGATTTGAAGGCTCAAACTTCGACGTTGAGCTTAGGTGTAAAACCTATTACTGATTTGCTAAACATTTCACGGATGGCGAATCTGTTCCTTGAAAGAAACGGTCGATTTTCTTAAGCATGAATTGATTTAATGCATGTCTTTGTCATTTTTAGATGTGCTATTCCAAGCTTCCCAAATGATACATATATCAGCCAAGGTAAATGGCATGACGACTTGATAAATAAAACGATTCCAACCGCAAAAGATGGTTTATCGAAATGCAAAGTTTTTGGTTCGGATGGATCAGAGGAATCTTGTGACAAATGGGTGTATGATCAGTCAATTTACGAGTCCACCCTTCTTATGGACGTGAGTATTAATCCAATCTTCTCGGAGGGATTATAGGATGAGACAATAAATCCCAGGTTCAGCGTGCTTCAGATCACTCGAATATTGGAAATCATTGGAAGCATTTAAAATAAAAATAAAATGGCCATGATAGTTTTTTTCTTCTTTTTATTCTAGATAAAGCTAATATGTGGAGATGAAATATTACGATCTCATTCGAATATGATTTTCTTTGGTGGAAATCTTGTTGGGGCATTTGGCTTGGGGTTGTTATCTGACTTGTAAGTATACCTGTATAGAGAACGCTGTTTATGTTTGGATTATCAACTATTGGGGTATCGAAGCATTATATGTTCATCGAATAAATGGTTATAAAGCCGAATGGATCATATATTTTCGTACTGGCCGATCAAGATTATTAGGAAATACGGCACACATATTCATGCTTCACCACATTGTATCTTGACTCAACAACGTAATTGATTTTTTAAGTCCATCATTATCAATACTTGCTTCTCATGGGTACGTCAACTAGATGACCCTAGTCCATGCGATCAGTATGCTTTATATATAGACATGGTATTTTGAAATAAGAGAAGAAAAGGGGGGGTCTCTAATTTCACCCCCGATACATATTTATTTTGTTTATTGAACAGGATAGGAAGAAAGAAAACACTTATGTTGTCAATTATACTTCATATTGGAACCGGTATTGGTATAGCATTTATTAATGAGTATATTGGTTTTTCTGTCCTGAGATTTTTTAATGGAATGGCTAATGGTGGTGTTTTTATGACAGGATTTGTCATTGGTAAGATTAATTTGAACAAAGTAATTTATGGATATCTATATGACACTTTGCTGCGTTGCTATTTCTTATTAAGTTATTGACATATAAAATTCTACTGCGTTGCTATTTAATATTACGTTATAGACAAACATACCCTTCTGCTGGTAGGACAAACAAACCCTTCTGCGTTGCTATTTCATATTAAGTTATAGACAAACTGAACTCTTCTGCGTTGCTATCTCATATTAAGTTATTGTCACAACCCTTACAGAATTTATTTAATTGAACACTACATTTTGCTACTAACCCACTTTGGATCAGACAAGCAGGACATAAATACTCCATTACATTACTTTTATATCACTTTTTAACCCAATAACTTTTTAATAGATTGTTAATTTGGCCGTTTTGTATGTGTTTTTCATTTTGATCGTTTTTAAGGAATGGAGCTTGTTGGACCCAGTAAAAGAGCGCTAGCAGGAATGATCATTATGTTGTTTTGGGCCCTGGGACTATTTGTGCTTGGGTTAATTGCATATTTTATACGTGATTGGAGAACTTTGTCTCTGGCTGTATCTTGTCCTTCTGTTGTCTATTTATCGTATTGGTGGTAAGTGCCTTTTTTTAGTAAACAGATATTAATATTATTTGGAGACTTTACTTTGTCAGATATCATAATTTTCTCAAGAGGTTATGGCTTTGAAATGGGAACTTGAGTGTCATTTACACAATATGAGTCTTAATGTGCCCTTTCGTTACATATTTCTGCTTATTGAAATCATTATGAACTGAAATGAAAGAAAACTATAAAACGAATATAAACATGAATAATGTCTATGAAAATGTATGTGAAATACTGTACTATTGAAGGGATTGTATAAAGGTTTTCTAAAAATACAATGTGAAATGTTGAGATTAGTCTAAATAAAATGAAAAAATATATTATTCACTTAAATCTCATTCAAAGCTAGAAAATAACACTATGGAAGACAAGTTATAAAAGAAATCGAGAGGGTGTTTGTGTGCAATGTCAAAATTCAACAAACGGGATTCTAACAATTTAAATAAGAATGTCTGAACAATCTAAAGATGAAGTCAGTTGTCGTGGATAAGCATTAGAGAAAAATTGTAGGTGGTTAAGTTGACGAGTCTACTTATCTACTTCATATTCAACTCATGAAGTTTAAGTATAATTATGCCTCCACTTAAGATTTATGATTTCAAAAACTAAACTAACTGTGTTGTAAAGTGTTTGGTGTCCTGAATTAATTTCTACATATTATCCCGTTTATTCTGGGGTTTGTTAAGAATGTTAAGTATAACACATAACAAAAGCAAAACGTGCAGATTTTAATTTAAATCAGATTGCATTGAATCAAAGTCTATATTTCTTTCTGTTTTTATGTATAAAATGGGAAAAATTGTTAATTTAAACTAACAGGTTATTACCAGAGTCTCCAAGATGGCTGTTATCAAAGGGTCGAGAAAAGGAGGCAGAGGATATCATTAGAAAAGCTGCTAAGGTCAACAAAGTTGAACTTCCGCTCAAGCTATTCGATCAACATACCCTGGACACAGGACCTCAATCAAAGATCTGGCACATGTTCACAGATTGTAGACTGTTGATTGGATCCTTGATAATATTTTTCAATTGGTGAGCACCTGTATTCTATAATTGATGTTAAAATAATCAAATCTAATTGCGCTTATTCAGATTGCACGGACATCAGAATCAACTCATCGTTCTCCAAAGAGAACAAATACATTAGATAACTGCATTGCAATCTCATTTTAAGAACAATACATTTAAATAAACATATTTATGCACTATAGTTTGGACAAAGTAAAAAGCTTTTTATTAAAAATATTATCAATTACTATTATGAGAATTGGTATAGCAGACTCGAAATAGTATTATTTAATTTTCTTCCTAGAAATTTCAACCCAAAGAATTCACAAATTTTGGCTGGAAATGGGCCGCTGTAAAAATTTCGAAGACGTGTGTTTCACCAACGCAATGACATTCTAAGATTAATAATTAAGTAAAATAACTATTTTGAGGCTGCTATTCCAATCTTCATAGATATAATGAGAAAAATTCAATAAACTTTTACTTTTTAATCCGGTAATAGAAATATTAAAATGGAACTTGAATCTTGTTGTACTCAGTTTCGCTCTATGCGATCTTCAGACAACTAAAACAACATGATTCAAGTTCTGTTTTAATATTTCTACACCACATGTATTGAGCACTATTTTAACAGTGAATATATTTCGTTATTGTGTCTGGGCACTATATGAGCATTATGTAATTACCTGATTTAATTGTTACTATATATTTCATCACAGGCTAGTGGTAAGCATGGTGTACTATGGTCTTGGTTTGAACGTATCTAACCTCAGTGGAGATCCATACCTGAACTTTACCATCGCCAATATTGCCGAAACTATATCTTACGTATTAGCTATTTTGCTGTTGAACAGAATTGGAAGAAAACCTCTTCACTGTGGTGCTATGTTACTTGGTGGGGTTGCCTGTTTAGCCACAATGTTACCTGTCATTTATGGTGGTAAGTAGAGTAAAGTGAGATAACAGACTCTAAATGCTGTCATGCTGATTTCATCAGTCTCAAATGATACTTGCCTTCGAGAAATCTTAAACGACAATGTCATACATTAACTGAACATTGACCTCTGTAAATTCAAATTTTAGAAGCATGAAATATGCCAATCTGATTAAAAATAGTTAACTGGTTACAGTTAATCGATTGTCATGAACTTATTATATTATTATTGTAAAAAGATTCATCTATCATTCTGTCATTTCAGCAAACCCATGGGTTACAACAGCTTTATCAATGATAGGAAAATTAGGAGCTTCCGGTGCATTTGCTGTGATATATGTATATGCTGCTGAATTGTTTCCCACTATTGTACGGAATTCTGGTTTAGGCACCAGCTCCATGTGTGCCCGTATCGGTGGAATGATATCTCCGTACATTGCAGACTCAGTGAGTTTAATTTAAGACTTAATCTATTTTAATACAGACATGAATTATTATAAGCTGACAGGTACAGTGTACAGCTTCCAATGCGGTACAAGAATCAGACGCAAACACAAATTGCTTCTTCTATTTGCTACTGTTTCAATTCAAACATTACATCGCAACGGACACCGTTCTTAGTTGCATTTTTACTTTTGTACGTATTTCTCAAGTTAGGCCTATAAATTTTGATTATTAGATTAAAGCCTGTCTTCCCGAAGCTCCCCAATCGTACATTTATACATTGTGCTTCATATTGTCGGAGATCATATGTATAGAATATATTATACTAATACTATTTTCAGGGGTTATTAGTTGGTGGCGATTTAAGGATTGCTCTACCACTCATAATATTTGGAGCAAGCAGTATAATAGCTGGTTTACTTTGTTTACTATTACCAGAAACATTAAACAGAAAGATGCCAGAAACAATTGACGATGCCAAGGAATTAAGCAGGTAGGAACCTATCTAGATAAACAGGTTCAAGAAGTTCTGTTCAAGCTATCTGTATCACTTTTGAGAACGAAAATCGATAATAAAAATTCGCAGAATTGGACACATATTTTGACAACAGCAGTGATAAATGCACATAGGAATCTAATAGTATGGTCCAATCTAAATTTCTACTCATGATCCAGACGCTTGTTTTCTAGAATGTTCTCTTAAATAGTTACTCATATCATTTTTATTTCAGAGGAAATAGTAAAGGAAACGCGTACGAATTGAAATCTGCTGATGTGGAAAACGACCAGAATGAAAAGTACATTCCAACAATAAGCCATGGTAAACTGTAGACTCGAACTGTGATGTTCCTTAATGTATACACATAATCCTACTACTCAATAATATCACGTATTTTTTATTTGTCCGTTATAATAGTTTTATCAATAACAAGTTTACTTTCCGTGTTAGTGTTTTAAAACGCCCGTCTGTATGGAAAGGGAGTCATAATGTACTTCTGGCCATGTGCGTTTTACATTAACATAACTAACATCTGTTCCAGAATGTTTCACAGAATTTACTAATGCACAAACCAGTTATGGGAAATAAAAAATATATATATTTTTAAATCCTTTCATTGATTCTTTAGAGTTGAAGGTTTCTATTTGGTTATTACTTTTAAAATATGGTTTATTGCTTTACCTTAATTATAAACATCAGATATTTGACATGTCACTTTAGAGTTTTAAAATAGACAGACAGAAAGGAAGTAATAGCCATTTTCCGAAGGATAACAACTGAGGTTCACACAGACCCTGTCTATTAGATATATTCCTACACCAAACTTATTGGTACCTCCCGGGTTATCCGTACCCTTATCCTTTAAAATATGGGTCGGTTTTAATAAAGAAAGAATGCTTTTATTAGGTCACCAGACTAAGAAAACTAGGGTCAGCTGAGATTAATCCACGGCCACCATTTTTCACACTTGACACCTTCTCACTGACTGTGTTGTGTTTACCATAAACTGTTAGAAATGATGATTTCGAAATTATAGAAGTTATATTATCTCGTGGTAGGGCTGAATCAATATGAATAAAAATGTACAATTCATCATTGAACTTATTGGTGTCCTAATACGTAACCTCTCATTGTGTTTGTGTATACTTAATGACAATCCACGTTGGACATACTCATACATCTAATATAAAATTGAATTTTTATGTTGAATTTAGGTTAACATTTAGTAATTCGGTACACTAATAACAAAGGGGTGAAGTGGAAAGTTCAATGTTTGAAAAACGTTGGCGAAACTCAAACTAGTTATAAAATTTTGCTGTTCTGATATTTGTCTAACATATCTGATGTTGATGAAAGACATTGCATACCATATTGCCATTGCATCGCAAATAGCTTTTCAAAATTGTCGGCGTTTGCAGCAGTGACTGTAAAGTGATATGAGATCCAAATACGTAATAGACGACTAAATAGCTAACTCAACAACTTGTCTGTTCTGTGACGTCTGTACCCAAGAATGCTGTTTTTTTGAACACTAATCCCACCCATTTGTTTCAATGTAAAAGATAGGCACCTAAAAATTCTGTTCTGATACATGATGGATTATCTAAAATGGGGCACTGTCAGCTTGTAAACAAATGCCCCTATGGGTAGGTTCCGTTAAAGAAGGGTTTTCCTCATTGTTTAGTGTCTAATTAATTTGATTAAATGGTGTTTCTAATGAATTATCATGTATTTCTAATCATATAATTATGTTCTTATTGTATACAATTAAGAGTTTTAACCAGTCATAAATGTCCATGTATATACAGTTCGGATAAATAAAAAATACTTTTTTACCTTTCTTGATCGGTCACTTATTGGAATTCGGCTGGTAATTCTCTTCTAATTTAGCTAATTATGAATTAATTATAGACATGTGAGACAAACTGGCATTTTTCCAAGTCATTAGAACACCTCTACATTCTGTTCATATAAGTATTAGAATTTTCATTTTCATAAATGAAAATAAGGGTACTGCTTTATAAAAAATATGAAAATTGAATGGAATTGATTGATTTGTGTAATTAACAAAGTAAAATGATTATGCATACATTACAATTAAATTATCACATTAAATGAAATTCATTATGCCAGAGGGAATGGAGAGTTTTAAAAATTTATACTAAATAGGAAATCCTCTTTGTCCTCGACCCCCAACATAATTTCCTATCGAGTTGTCTGTGTTAAAGTTATTTCTGTTGCCTTGATTATTATGTATTCCATCATTTCCATGTGGAGTTAACTTAGGGCATGATCCATCAAATAATTTCTTAACCTTTCTGGAAAAAAGAAATGTATGTTTTGTGCAGAATTTTTAAAATAGAGAATCATAATTTTCCTTATTGGAGCATATGCAATTGCCCAACGTCCCATACCTGAAGTTATTCCCAATAAAATCATCGGCATAGTGAATAGTTTAATGTGTGAGATGTAATACCATGTCGTCCAGTTATCCACTTATTTGTAAGGTAAAAATTCGATTATAAGACTATGTGATTCTAGAACTAGACGAGAACTTACTTGCAAGCCATGAAACATTCATTAGGATATGTTAACAATGAGGATCCACATACTGGTTTGTATATATTAGGACAAATAGCACATGGATCAAAACATTCACCATTATAAGCCCAATTGACGTCCCTAAAATATACATTAAAGTATTAATATGTCTCAGATAGATAATGATTAAAAGAATAATTGACATAAAACTCATTAATATTGCCAGCAATGAGTAGAGTACAATTCTGCTAAGAAACAGTGTAAAAAGCAAAAGCAATTGTCATCAAAGTAACACCGAAAATAGTCGAATAATAATTGTAAATTCCTTCCTCACAATAGTTCAAATAAAGCTTTGAAAGGATATATAGTGTCACGTATGCAATTAAGCGCATCTAATTGATGGTGGTCAACCATCAGGTTATATTCGTAATGGCTGGTATATTCCCTAGGATTAAGAACATTTACTTACTGGCAATTTAATAAACACAGGTTAGAATAGGTTATACCATCAGCACCACAAACAGGATCATATATTTTGGTACATGAACATATCTTTTCGCATTTGCCTGAATGCCTCAGAAGTACTTCACTGTAAATGACAATAATATGAAAAAAAATTACAAGCAGCAATTTTCAGATTGAAAGACGACAAAATTTCAGACACAGCTGTTAAATAGCTAAAAGGGGGGATAAATGCAAAACACATGAAAAACAAATTGGTTTATATATTTCTTAGTTCAATACAAATAGTTTTCTCTTTGGCAAACAACGTTTTGCACATTTCCGCTCTCTGAATTTTTTCCAATTCTATTTTGTATTTTTAAACATACCCACAATTCAATTCACATTCATTAGAGTATGTTACACCATCTTCACCACAAACTGGTTCATAATTTCTAGGACAGGCACATGGACATTTTCCCTCAGATTTCTTTGTTACTTGTCTATTAACGAGATAAAACACATAATGAATTATTGTCAAATTGTCTGAATTCGCACGTAATGTTTGCTATAATTAACCAAAACTTAATTGGAATTCTCACTTACCCACAATTCAACTCACATTCATTAGAATATGTTACACCATCTTCACCACAAACTGGTTCATAATTTCTAGGACAGGCACATGGACATTTTCCATCAGATTTCTTTGTTACTTGTCTATTAACGATATAAAACACATAATGAATTATTGTCAAATTGTCTAAATTCACACGTATTTTTTACTATCATTAACCAAAAGTTAATTGGAATTCTCACTTACCCACAATTCAACTCACATTCATTAGAATATGTTACACCATCTTCACCACAAACTGGTTCATAATTTCTAGGACAGGCACATGGACATTTTCCATCAGATTTCTTTGTTACTTGTCTATTAACGAGATAAAACACATAATGAATTATTGTCAAATTGTCTAAATTCACACGTATTTTTTGCTATAATTAACCAAAAGTTAATTGGAATTCTCACTTACCCACAATTCAACTCACATTCATTAGAATATGTTACACCATCTTCACCACAAACTGGTTCATAATTTCTAGGACAGGCACATGGACATTTTCCATCAGATTTCTTTGTTACTTGTCTATTAACGAGATAAAACACATAATGAATTATTGTCAAATTGTCTAAATTCACACGTATTTTTTGCTATCATTAACCAAAACTTAATTGGAATTCTCACTTACCCACAATTCAACTCACATTCATTAGAATATGTTACACCATCTTCACCACAAACTGGTTCATAATTTCTAGGACAGGCACATGGACATTTTCCATCAGATTTCTTTGTTACTTGTCTATTAACGAGATAAAACACATAATGAATTATTGTCAAATTGTCTAAATTCACACGTATTTTTTGCTATAATTAACCAAAAGTTAATTGGAATTCTCACTTACCCACAATTCAACTCACATTCATTAGAATATGTTACACCATCTTCACCACAAACTGGTTCATAATTTCTAGGACAGGCACATGGACATTTTCCATCAGATTTCTTTGTTACTTGTCTATTAACGAGATAAAACACATAATGAATTATTGTCAAATTGTCTAAATTCACACGTATTTTTTGCTATAATTAACCAAAAGTTAATTGGAATTCTCACTTACCCACAATTCAACTCACATTCATTAGAATATGTTACACCATCTTCACCACAAACTGGTTCATAATTTCTAGGACAGGCACATGGACATTTTCCATCAGATTTCTTTGTTACTTGTCTATTAACGAGATAAAACACATAATGAATTATTGTCAAATTGTCTAAATCCACACGTATTTTTTGCTATAATTAATCAAAAGTTCCATCAGAATTCTTTTCTACGCCTCTGTTACATAGAAATAAAAACCTCAAATATATTTATAGAAAGTAATAGCAGAAAGCGTTAAAGATACTTTAAATGTGAAGCTGTTTTAAAAGATTTTAAATAGACATGGAAGTTTTAGACTTTAAGTTACTTAACTTTATTAATCAACTTTCAACCGCTTTAAAGAACTACTTTTGGAATGCATGGTATGGGATAGTATATAGAATGTATATATAATGGGTGTTATTGTTAAAATGACGCCTCACTGACAATTAAATATATTTTTACGAAATGTTATATACATTTTAAATGTAAGGTCAAGGTTTGTTAGGTCCGTGTTTTCCAATCCACCTGCCTAAGTTTTCGAAAGTTGAATACTTTATTCACATACATGTATTTAAAAAAAAAACAACTTGAATCGTCACCAAATATCACTATACATGTGAGAGTTATTGCCCTTTATCGTGGTTAATTACATTAACACATTTATTGTCTTAGAAGAATGACAACACAGAACGTTTTGTATTGAATTTCAAGAAAACCAGACGTCAAATTAATTTTCACCATGAATAGTTACATTTATAGCTGAAATGGAGGTCTATATACCGGTAATTGAGGTCTTTATAATAGCAGTGTAAACGGAAAATTGAAATAATTAAAATAAAATAATTTTGTTTTTGTAAATGTTATGGTGTACTAGTAGTTAGAGCAAGTGAAAACAAAAAAATATTGAAATATAGAAAAAGTTATTCAATATATAAGGTCTTTAAAAAGTGGGAGGGGGGGGGGGTGGGCAAATGAAAATGTTTCCTCTATCTGTTGAAATACAACCGATAGCATAACCTGGTCATTTTTGAAGATTTGAAATATTAACATCTCCCCTCGGTGATAAACTTTACAGAATTAAAATATCTTGATTAGTCTTTGAGATATTCCATGATGAATGGGGTAAATATTGGAGAAATTTGGTCGTTATTTGTCACATTCACTTTATAAGTGATATACTGAACAAGTCATTTGATGTTCGTGTAGTGTTTATCGTTATCAAAGTAAGTTCATCAATAAATGTTCGTTTTAGAATCATATAAAATTGACAAGAAAATATGAAAACTAACACACAGTCCAGTTCACATTGATTACTATAGGTTTTACCATCAACACCACAAACTGGTTCATCTATCAACTGACAGGCACAAACTGGACATTCTCCATCAGATCTCTTGGTAACTCCACTGAAAAAGCAAAATGTCTTTTTATCATTAGTTTAAATATTGTTTAACATCAACTAAGTGCGTCATCGTGAAATATTCGGTTTGTATGAATTTGACTTAGATAAAACCAACAATCGTTCTAACTTACTGCTTTCTGCAGGATCTTTTAGCGACTTTAGCCTACTGACATATTTAATAAGAGCAATGCTGTTTTCAGTGTTTTTGAAAGACAAACATGAGTTCGACTAGTGTTTATCGTTATCAAAGTAAGTTCATCAATAAATGTTCGTTTTAGAATCAAATAAATTTGACAAGAAAATATGAAAACTAACACACAGTCCAGTTCACATTGGTTACTATAGGATTTACCATCAACACCACAAACTGGTTCATCTATCAACTGACAGGCACAAACTGGACATTCCCCATCAGATCTCTTGGTAACTCCACTGAAATGGTGAGAATCAACTTAACCAACTTAGAAAATGGTAGGACAAAAATCTTCTTTATATTCGAATCCCTATACTGATCATCAATGATAATTTATATTGGTTTCAATTTGCAAGTTCAAGCGTGATATTGCCATATCAATATATTTTCTTTTTAATTGGTAAAATTTTCTTATACTTACAAACAGTCCAGTTCACATTGGTTACTATAGGTTTTACCATCAACACCACAAACTGGTTCATCTATCAACTGACAGGCACAAACTGGACATTCTCCATCAGATCTCTTGGTAACTCCACTGAAAAAGCAAAATGTCTTTTTATCATTAGTTTAAATATTGTTTAACATCAACTAAGTGCGTCATCGTGAAATATTCGGTTTGGATGAATTTGACTTAGATAAAACCAACAATCGTTCTAACATACTGCTTTCTGTAGGATCTTTTAGTAACTTTACTGACACATTGAAGAAGAGCAATGCTGTTTTCAGTGTTTTTGAAAGACAAACATTAGTTCGCCTAGTGTTTATCGTTATCAAAGTAAGTTCATCAATAAATGTTCGTTTTTGAATCAAATAAAATTAACAACAACCATTCTTAGAAAATATGATAACTAACACACAGTCCAGTTCACATTGGTTACTATAGGATTTACCATCAACACCACAAACTGGTTCATCTATCAACTGACAGGCGCAAACTGGAGGACATTTACCATCAGATCTCTTGGTAACTCCACTGAAATAGTGAAAAGGGGCGTGTTGTTTACAATGTCTCCGAACAGTATGCACTTAAAATTAGTTAAAATTATTGGTTATCGTTATCAAAGTACGTCCTCAAGAGACAGTCATTAAGATTAAGTTAGACTTAAATACATCATTCTATGAAAACTTACACACAGTCCAGTTCACATTGATTACTATAGGTTTTACCATCAACACCACAAACTGGTTCATCTATCAACTGACAGGCACAAACTGGAGGACATTTTCCATCCGATTTTTTTGCAACTCCACTGAAAATTCAAGATTACAGAAACAAGTTGTCCGTTATTAACATAGAAAGGCTGTGTGTAATGGTTGGGTTCTAATTTTTTAAAAGTGTCTATATTCCGGTTAAATCAAATATTGCACTTGTCAAATTCAGAGAAGTTTGAATAAAAAGGCGGTTTTTGGAATACACCTACAGTGAGAGTATCGGCTACATTGCCTAACCCACTCTTTTCATGGTTCACAACAAATGTACCGCAATTGCCACATCGAAAAGCAATGAAAATATATTCAAAAATAAACAAAGATATTAAATGACTGCCAATCAGTCATTTTAATAGGTCATTATGATGCGTTTTAAAATTATTATTTCTTTCTTCCTTCCTCATGAATTCCGCATGGTGGAATGAATGATGGAACAATGCAATAAATAGCAAATAAAGGAATTAAGACTTACACACATTGTTGATGACACTCATTATTGTAGGTTTTGCCATCAACACCACAAACAGGTTCATAGTTCAACGGACAGGGACACAGAGGATTAGCCCCAACTGAAATAAAATGTACACTTATAAAGGAGTAACATTTTTATAATAGTCATATAGAGGTTATACATCTCATTTGATAAATAAAATCCCGGGGAATTTATCTATTAGATTACCGACTCAAGAAGGCCTGACTGTGTTGAATACGTCTCAGTCTTGAGTTTCAAATAAATGTGTCGGTCGGTTTCTAAGTCAAATAAAACACTTTCCCTGGGAACAGTGTTGATCTGTGAACACTGTTAATGATTACCTTAGTTCAAATAAAATAAGGTACGATAGGTCGAATCTGTCCCTATAAAGTTGCTTGTGATAAAAATTCCTCGGATGTTGGATTTTTAATATTATAAAAAAATGCCGAGTTCTAACCTTTACATATATCTTCAAGCCAAACCAGACTATCAGACAGCCTCCCTTTTCAATTCATAAACGAGTTATCTGAACCTGTGTGAAAGCAAAACCTTCCCCTTTCTAAAAAGCAGGATATGTTGGACTTTTTAAGACGTAGTCTCAGTTTACAATTACTTGATCGTTTTCAACACAATCTAATTCAATAATATCCTTCTAATTGTATAGCAAGTTGAATTTATTATTGCGTGTGGCTACAGCATGTATAATTACCATGTCAGTAAAGGACACATTTTATTTAATAGGCGTTACCATCCAACAATTCTATTAAATGATGGTCACATACGATAATAAGTAGTTTTTCCATTTCATTAAATCTTAATTAACTCAAACCAAGAAGTTACAGAATATAAATCATCAAGGATCGTGATATATTTTCCCTCCTACATGGTTACTTTATTTCGAGTCTTATTGACAATTAGTTCATTCTCAAATTATAATTGGTTTGCTCTTACGTTTTTGTAAAATACTGCATGTCTCAACACATGAATAGTTTTAATGTATACTTGAAACACCCACTTTCTCTTGTGAATGAGTTATCCAATACAAACCGTTGAAAATATTTCCTCGGTCACATCGTCGTGTGACTGTTCCTTGACACAGTTTGGTAATTATTATTGGTCATAATCATAATGGTTTATTGTACCCTAAGCAAGTAAATTTAGCTAGATGATAATCATAGACATTGCATGGAAACATGTCCTGGTTCAGAAAAAAGTAAAAAAAATATGTAAACTGTTTGTAAAGAAGATCATATTTTAGATATTTTGCTTTCTGCTTTATTTGAAAAGTCTGTCCCTTATTAATGATTGGCATTTACAAGGCGTAAACCGTTTAAGCCAAAAATGCCTTAACTTGCTGTTACCAGCTCGGCAGGTCTATACATGTGGAGACATATAATATTAACAGTGCCCAACTTTTATTGTAATAGAATAGTGGAAAGTTAGAGGTAATATCTCAAATGAAAAAAATATGTACACCTTATTACCGAGTCCATTCATGCATTTACTAGGGTTTTTGTGCAAATACTAAAGACCTTAAAAATTAGAATTACTTCACACATCGAAAATAGACAAGAAAAACTCTCTGGTCATCCGGGCTCTTAGAAGACTGGACCTCCTCTTTTGTAATTCAGATGGATTTTATCCTTTTATTCTGCTTTAATATAAATTAATATAATGTTACTTACCCGAAGAGAAGACCAAAACGAAAATCAAACCCTTCATGATCGAAATAAAATCCAATATTGAAAACCAAAAATCTAGCTTCACTTTATATAGGAATCAATTTTCTTCAATATTGACAAAAACATAGTCTTTACCTTACTTAATTTGTTTACTTTATAATATTAACGGATACAGTCTAATATACATTTATGTCATAAATTTTGACTATTAAAGAGTTGGAAATTAACTTTTAGATAAGCTCATAAAATCATAAGATATCCGTATTCTTGATATCCTAATGGTGGTAAACGTCAGCATGATTTTAACATGAACTTATTAAATTCTTATAGTTTCTTGAGTAGGTCGTGAATTTTATTTTACTTAAAAAGAACAGGTACGACATATTCCTGTATAAATACTTAAAGGCTATATGCACCTTATAAATAAAAGGATAGACGTCAAGAAAAATGTTTTAACCTGTTTGTATCAACATTAAACGTATCATAACAAATACCTAATTAACAGGGATTATCCCAAATTTGACCCATTATAAATTTAGCATAGATGTGGTGGGATAATACGATCTTAAAGTTTTATCGAATTAATAATATGAAAACAATGTCAAACGGAACGACCACCTCAAGTATTGCTTGAATAAAGAAGCTTCATACAGTTCGGATCGAGCTTATATATACCCGGTTATAATGTATTGCGCGGCTACGAAAAACGTAGTGTATTTCTTGTGTAAGTCGCTGTGATCGCATCTTCCAATGCTCAACATCCTGTTTCTAAATTTTTTCATTTGAGTCTAATCATTGGTGAAATACCGTAATTATTATTATTGATTAAAGATAGCTTGCCAGGCAAAGTAATATACGCCCACTGGCAGGTTTGATTTTGAATAAAAATATTTAGCAGTACAGTAACAATCACCAGTATGAAATATTCAACCTACACTTCTTTTGAACTCTTTAGGGCGATACTGAATAATATTGAGTATGAGTTATTTCCCTAGTTCTTGAAAAAGTGTTCAATCTGTAGCTCGTGAAAACTCTAGAAGGCAAATATTCAATCTTCAGCGCGGTACTGAATAATAAAACCAAGTTTTGTCAAAATCCAGCAAGAATCATGCCTTTTAGTGTTTAAGAGCTCAATTTAAAAGCGTTTTCAAGAACAAGGGCAATAACTCATACTAAATATTTTTCAATTCTTCTGATTTTCAATAGGGTTCATCCTTGGGTGAGTACGAATATTCACGCCAAGTTTCATCAAAATGCCTCAAGAATTGTGCCTTCTAGAATCATTACGAGCTAAAAATTGAACGCGTTTTCAAGAACAAGGGCAATAACTAATACTTAATATTTTTCAATTTTTCTGATTTTCAATAGGGTCTATCCTTGGGTGATTCTGAACACTCATGCCAAGTTTCGTTAAAATCCATCAAGAATTGTGCCTTCTAGATAGTTTACGAGCTAAAAATTGAACGCGTTCTCAAGAACAAGGGCAATAACTTATACTAAATATTTTTCAATTCTTCTGATTTTCAATAGGGTTCATTCTTGGGTGATCACGAACACTCATACTAAGTTTTGTCAAAATCTGTCAAGAATTGTGTCTTGTAGAGTGTTTACGAGCAATTGTGGACGGACCGACGGACATGGGTGATGGCAATATACGCCCCGCGTAAAAAGCTTCATGTAACAAATATCATCTAAGATTTGATAATAAGTAACTCGTCACAATATATATATCATTTTCATGAGATCCAGAAATATACAGACTGAATGGCATCTGCGATCATGCACTCAATGTAACATTTACTGTCAAAACTATGGGGAATAAACCGATGAGATGCCAAAAAACACTAAAAAGTTTGAAGGATTGATGTTCATCAGTGGTAGATATGTTGAAAAGAATGTATGATATGACATGTTACTCATCATCCGTTCTCATTCAACTTTATGAGCACTTCTTACCTGGTCTTTTTTCTTTGGGAGAACTGGATCTGGCACAGAAAACACATATATACTAGATACCATTATACTGTATAATGCACTTTTACCAATAATCTGCAAATATTTGTCGATTTATTTTCCTCGTATTCATGCGATAAAAGGGATGTGCACTGTCTGTTTTGGCCATATCTCGATCTTGTGCATAGTTTATTGTTGTCAATGACAAGATTTGAAACATTGTATACGTGAAGTCAGTAAAGGTGCATGTGTGTTTGTTTGTTATCTAATAAAAAAATGTCTTAAACTATAAAAAAGAATGAACTGAACAAAAAATATTCAATGACAACTAAAACATATTTTCTTTTAATATGCAAGTTATTTATCAGCAAGGCTACTTTTCATTGTTAGGTATTTCTAATAAAAGGTGGTATCCAATGTAATGTATTTGTACTGCAACGGTAAGTTTTCTCAATTCTCAGAGAAAAATCAATTGATATGTTTTTGATTGGTTTAGTTGGTTCAAAAGCCTATTTCTTTTCGATTACCAACTGTCGGGGGATCTCTAAGTGTACAGCTTATCGCACAATGGCCATTTGTGTTTGAGATATCCAACTAACATTAACTTGTTTTTGTGTATGTTGTATCTCTTGTCTACGGTGTACATTCACAACTTTGGTGCACTTATCAACCGCTTATAAAATATTTTAGCCGGCGTTGTTAATTGAAAAAGTTTCATTTCAATTTCTCTTTTTTAGTATCTTTTCTCTTTTCTTTTTAAAATGGGGTTTATCTTCCCCTTTCTTTGGCAATATATCTTTTCTCTTTTCAAATTCCTTAAAATTGATATCCATACCTGTTGGATAATTTAATTCAGAATTTTTATTAGCTGGAGCTACATTTATTTCATAAGATTTCCATATCTCTATCTTTCTCTTTCTTTTTGATAAATTGCCTTTTTTTCTTTAATTGTGTAATCGTAGGTTAGTAGTTCCCGATACGGAACTGAAAATAAGTGTATTAAGTTTCTTCTCCATATAATTTTTTCAAGAATACCAGATGTATTTGAACACACCTGTAACCAATTACTGTAAAACAACATTCGTGCAGATGATCTCGTGTCTCGGGTTATTACTTTCTCTTTTAGAAGGTACTGTTGCTTTCAAATAAGACATAATTGTATAAATTTTAATATATATAAATGATATTTAATTATATTATTTAAGTCTACAGGATATTTAAATACAATGAAAATCGTTTTTTACACCTTTTGTATTGGAATGGAACTTCTTCTAATGCAAACGTGTTTCTTGATTAATGTGTATAATTTCGCCGCTAATGTGAAGACCTGCCCGCTTTAAATGAATTAATATACTGATTCTTTCTCTAATATTTTTTGATTGACGAAAATCCAAAACTATTCACTGTTTTTTTTTTATAGTTCTTTTGAGCTGTTGTTAAGCTCAATTCAAAATTTTCGGAGAACGGGTCTTCTCAACCAATAAAAACATGTTTCAATGAAACTATTCGGTTGTCAAGAACATTATTATAATGTTATCAATAAAACTGTCTGTTTATAGGCAACTCCCGCCATGAGTAGAAGTCTTGTTTTGGTTGTAAATATTTAGCCAATTTAAGGTAACAGCATCAATTATACAGAAATAATTTTCTGTAATAAGCATAATCTGCCACAGAAATTTGGTACCAAGTTACCACCATTCATAACTGTATCCAAAAAGTGTGGTTAGCGATTTTAAAATTGCTGATCTAGTGATTTTTTTATTTGATATCTCTGTCTATAGAACACCATTTTTGAATATCACAAAAGAAATATTAAACTACTGAAGGTTAATCGCCTGAAATCTCTTTAAATGATTCAAATTTTTTTTATTAACAACCAGGGCCACCGCATACTATTTCATACCGATATTGAAATATTCTTGCCGTGTAGGCAAATAATATTAATTCGGTGGTAGTGACATGGTGTTTCTTTTTACGTTTTGTTGTTACTTACAGGATTAAACACGACAAATGCCTAGAGCCTAGCTCAGACATGCTCACAAAATGTGATATGCAAATTACTTCTGAAATGTAGTTAAGTATTTAAGGGTTCCATAAAGTGTGTGGAATTCAGTCGTTAACATTTATTGGTATGTACTCTATATTATCATCTAATGTTAACATTTGGAGAATTATACATTGATTTTCTTTTGTGTGGCTTATTTTAGTTTGACCTAGGGCATCTACAAATAATTCATGTCTGCTTTTTTTTAAATATTCAGAAGCATCACTGCAGTTAAGAAAATGGCACAAGTAACAGTCGTCACTACCCAACCCGCAAAAAAAGAAAAGAAAAAGTACTGGTAACATCATTGGAAGGACATAGAGATTGGATTACTGGCTTATTTGACTGTTGTGATGACTGTAAAGCATGTAAGTAGCGCTTTATGTATATAATAAATGGAATTTTTGTGAAGCGAAATACAAGTAATTCCCAGATTGCTTTGAATATTCTGATGTAAAGTACAAATTTTACTCATTTTCATGGTAATTGTTGTTCTCCATAACCACTAACCTTTCATTCTTACCAACAAAATTTATGGGTTTCTTTATGAATTATGCTAAAAAATATCTAACTTGATCTCAACGGAAGCGTTTTCATTAAACGACAATGTAAGTATAGACTTAAAAATCAAGATGACAAAACAAGGGTTACTCTCTCTATTCATCAGGCTTACAACAAACAAAAAACAAGCTCAAATTTCAAATATTGTGTACCATAGGGAGACAATATATTTTACCAATTCATGTTACATTTATGCTGATAGGTACTTTCTAACTAAATTCATTTCAATTGAGTATAAATTCAGTCATTTATATGAACTATCTGTATTCCTTCCGTTAAACGGAATCTTAAAGAAGAACAAATCTCTTTATCCACCATAGTGGAATTTCAACTAAGTATAAGTATAAGTTCGCCCGACTTGTGTCCAATTTCAGAAAACAAAGATAATCTTTTGCATATTACTTTTGCCTAATCGAGTTCTAAGTAACGATTCATCAAGAGAAAGTGGGGTTCCCATTCCAGTTCCAAATGACATACCCAAGCTTAC